TCACAGAGGGGTCACAGGAAGAGATGAGCCAGTCAGGGTGCACTATAGCACCGGTGAAACACAATTTTCCTCTAGCTTTTTGGTGCTTCCTTCACCCCACTATCATGACCTCAATTCTACCTTACAAATCAGATTAGACCAGAGCATGCACACTGCTACAGACAAGACCCCGAAACACAGGGAATCCAGGATAGATAAACCCCTCAGGGCCAACAAGGAGAGTAGAGATACCAGGAGGATTAGGGGACGGTGGAGGGAGAAAGGGCAATCGATCACAATGATGTACATATAACCCCCAGGGGGACGAACAATGGAAAAGTGGGTGAGTGGCGACAGAGGACAATGTGAGATATGGAAAAAATAATCTATAACTTATCAAGGGTTTGGGAGGGAGGGAGAAGAAATGGGGAGCTGATATCAGGGGCTCTAGTGGGAAGGGAATGCTTTGAAAATCATGATGGCAGCATATGTGCAAATGTGCTTGACACACTGGATGAATTTATGGATTGTGATAAGAGATGTAAGAACCCCCAATAAAAGTATTTAATAAAAGAAACAAACCAAAAATCACTAAAAATTCTAGTTTTGGTGTCGTAATTTCATCTAATACAATAAAGAATTATACTTTATGAATGAGGTGATTGAATCAGAAGATTTGTTATAACTCATTTTTATTCAATTCCATTTATAAGATCATCAAAATTTGTACTTTTACAACTCTGTTTGAAATAACAGTTAAATCAACATCAGTTGCTCCTGGCAAATGAGCTAGCAATTAATTTTTATTAATTTTTAATTTTGAAAGGGATCCGATGCTAATGTCCTTTACAGATTGACAATACTGGGATAAACTTCTGATAAATTGTTTCAAAACATAAATTTTAGTACATCTCAAGCTGATGGTTCTTGCAGGACAGTCTTTCTAGAAAGATTTAACTCTGCATACAAATTAATTTCCTGTAAGTCTGAATTCAATTAGAAAGTTATGCAGTATGAAATGTAGATTGTAGAGGTTGTGTATTAAACAGGAAATGACTTAATGTTTGGATAACATTCAAAATATCTATTAATGAATTCTATAAAGATATCTTTAATTTTAAAGAAACATTAATTTTTAAATTGTTTTCCTAATTAATACTAGACTCATTGGAAGCTTTGTATGAAAATTGTATTCTTTTCCATCGATTGTAATAACTTTACATTTAATTTCTTTATTTCTAAACCTATGGATAGTGTTTAGTGATGTTTCAGCAATTTTTAAAATCTTACAATACCCCTGTGACTATGTCTATTTAGGAACTCATCTAAACACGTCGGGTACCAATATATTCATCAATTACCTCCATAATACATTCTCTAAATTTGCCATATCATTGTTGTGTGCCTTCACATCTATTCCAACTCATAGAAACCCTAGATGACAGAATAAAACACACACACACCCACATACATAATTTTATGTGCCACGTCAGACTTTTAATTATCCCTACACCTCATTGTTTATAGTTTAAAAAATACCTTAGCAGGATCTAAGACCCAAGCATAGAGCCTACTAACACCTCACCACTGAGGGAGAGAGTATACAGACCTGCCAAGCCAGTGGGTGCCATAAAACACGTATGGTGCCATTAGTACAGTTCTAGTGCGCTATAATAATCATAATCGAGAATGTAACACACTAGATTCTTAGCTGCTTGAGGGCAGGGACTTTATTTATATCCCACAGGAGTGTCCTTAGTGATGGAGGATAAGTGAAAAGGAAAATCTGGTATAAATCTACTTTCTTGGGTTGGGAAGAGACTTTGGGCACTGAAGAGCAGAAGTCAGCAGTAAGATCGACGTGTGCTATATAAGCTCAGTGTGGTGAAGAAATCAGGTGGTGCCAGGACATCAGAAAGAACAGCATATGGGGTCTCAAAGGCCTGTCTTTTTTTTTTTAATCATTTTATTGAAGGCTCATGCAACTCATCATGATCCATACATACATCCATTGTGTCAAGCACACGTGTACATTTGTTTCCTTCATTTTCAAAACATTTTCTTTCTACTTGAGCACTTGGTATCAGCTCCTCATTTTTTTCCCTCTCTCCCCTACCCTCCCTCCCTCATGAACTCACGATAATTATAGATTTTTTTTTTCATGTCTTACACTGACCGATGTCTTCCTTTACCCACTTTTCTGTTGTCCATCCCCCTGGGGGGGGGTTATATGTAGATCCTTGTGATCAGTTTCCCCTCCCCCCCCCACCTACCCCTTCCCCTCTTGGTATGGCTATGTTCAATATTAATCCTGAGGGGGTTATCTGTCCTAGATTCCCTGTGTTTCCAGCTCTTATCTGTACCCATGTACATCCTCTTGTCTAGCCAGATTTGGAAGGTGGAATTGGAGTCATGATAGTGGCTGGGGGGAGATGGGGAGCAAGCATTAAACAACTAGAGGAAAGTTGTATGTTTCATTGTTGCTACACTGTACCCTGACTGACTTGTCTGCTCCCCTTGACCCTTCTGTAAGGGGATGTCCAGTTGCTTACAGATGGGCTTTGGTTCTCCACTCCGCACTCCCCCTCATTCACAATGATATGATTGTTTTGTTATGGGTCAAATGTTTGTCTTAAAACAAGCAGCCATCTGAGTGAAGTGTAAGCTAAATCCACATGGAAGAAGCACACCAGCCTTTGTGATTCAAGGATTGTAAATGATAAAATCTAAGACCGGAGGAGAGAATAGTATTAGAACTTAAATTCTGAGCACCCAGTTTGTAGAGGCTATAAATGACAGTGAAAGCCCCCAATCCATTTGCTGGGTCCCCACGTGGATTAAGCCCCTGGTGAATCCCCTCTGACCATTGACCAGGGATGTGAATAGCCTTTCTATCAGACAGAGTGCATTGGAAAGTGGACTATTGCAGATATAGTTACATTGACATTTTAATATCATCATTTGATCTCCTTATTGACCCATTTTTAATTTGTTGTAGTCTTTAATGTTTTCCACTTTCTTTTTGATTGAAGTTCTCTGTTTTATTTTGTTACGGTTATTGAGGTTTTTGTTTTGTTTTGCTTGTATGTTTTTCTTTATATGAAATCCAGGATAGTTAAATCTATAGAGCCAGTAACTGGATTAATAGTTTTTTGGGAGGATGAAAAGGGAGGTTGGAGGGAAATGGGGAGCTCATAACAATGAGTACAAGAAAGAAGAAACTGTTCTAAAATTGATCTTGATGTTGATTGAAAAACTTTTTAATATATTTGAACTATTGAATTGTATATTGTATAAATTATATGTCAATAAATTATATGTCAATAAATTATATGTCAATAAAATTGCTTTAAAAAAGAAAGTATTAAAGAAAGCAAATTTAAACATTATTTAGGCAGCTTCCAGCACCCTATTCCAGATATTCAAGATGTCCGACGACTCCCAGTTTGGAAGTCAGTTGGAGCAGGAAACATGATGTGTGCTCAGATAGGGCATTCATAGGGTTCTACCTGTGAGCGTAAAAAATACTGTGCTATGTCATTTTTACAATGACTGATATGCAGTGCTCAGACGGTGTCTTCCCAGGGTAATACGGTATCCCATTCTACGAGTAGACCAAACCTCATTCCCAACAATCCTTTACTGCTAGACATCCCAAATGCTTTCTTTTTCCAAGGTGGCAGTGAGCAACCTTGCATTTATATCTCTGTGTACAGAGAGAGTGTTTCTGTATGATAAATTCCCAGAAGCAGAGGATGCACACTCCTAACATTTTGATAGATCCTGTCCAGTTTGTCCTCCAAGAGTGATCTTACCTGTTTACATGTCCATCGGTGTCCCTGTCTTCCCAGCCACGTGCCATCACTGTGTTGTTTTCACAGTATTTGCCAACTCGCCCCTTTCCCTGTGAGAGCCTGATTTAACTTTCCATTTCCTCGATGGCCAGTGATGACAGTAAACAGCTGTGCATCTCTTAATTGGTGATTTGTATTCCTTCTGTGCTGTTCCTGTTTTTCTCCTTTGCCCTGCTCATTTCTAAAGGTCTAGATCCTGGGTCATCAGTGAGCTGGGAGTAGAGTCCAGCAGTTATTTAGCCCCCCTCATCGAAGGAGTATACTTTCAATCCATTCATTCCTGACCCAGGAAGAACGCAGCAGTTGGCCCAGCTCTGAGGTGCTTAGAGCAGAGGCAGAGGAAGCAATCTTAGTGTTGTTACTGTTATCAGTATACTCTCCCCCTGCACAGGCTTGAAAGGATTAATTGGGTGCAGCAGGAGAGAAGAGCTTATGGGCCTGCAGTAGAGGCTTTGTTCTGAAGTCCTGGGGTTCACCTTTCCCACAGCTCCCCAGGAGACCTGTCTGGCCTCAGGCAGCCCATCTCTCCCGACTTCTCTGAGTCTGACATCCTAAAGGTCTGATCCTTGTCTGCCTGGGTTGTGTGTATTACAGGTACGAGACATCATTGTTGGATCTGGTCCAATCCCTGAGCCCAAAGTCTGCTTCCAAACCCCAGCCACGTCCCTCCCGAGAAGCGGGTGCCTGGGATCACAGTGTGCTCCAGCTCGGTCCTCTCCAACAGACCCGCAGCAGGATGGGGGCAGGCAGGAGCCCTGAAGACCTGGAGGAGAATCAGATTCTGGAAGATATATTTTTCATTTGACAATGAAGCACATGCTGCAAACTTTCCACAGAAAATATGTGGGTTCTTTGTATACTGATTATCATTTTAATTATTTGATTGCCAAGAAATATGTCTCTCCTTTCATGGGGACTTAGCTCACTCGAGTCCTGTTATCTATTCTAACACCAGTGTTGTGTGTGTGTGTGTGTGTGTGTGTGTGTGTGTGTGTGTGTGTGTGTGTGTGTGTAGGAGGTCGTGGGGAGAGGATGACATCTTTTCCATGCCAAGCAGAGTAAAAAGTAAACATAAGACATTTTGTCTGGCAAGAAACCATTGCGTGTTCAAACTCAATCCAAGAGCATTTCCTTGTCAGTCTTCTGCTGGACAGGGTTGGCTCTCTTTGGTACTTAAGGGGAGAATAAGGGAAGCCTTTCTGCTAAAACTCTCTCCAATTTAGATACTGTCCATTTGTAACATAACGATTTATGAAAAACAGAGCCTTTCACATTCTCCGCCCTGTTCCCACGCCACAGACTTCTGCCTAAGTGTAACCATTTTAGTGTGAAGCTGTAGTCAGTGCCTCTTCGTAACAACATGGAGGGCCAATTGTGAGGTGAGTCTCAGAAGTCATCAGCCTGGTAGCTGCCCGTCTCATGACCAGGAGGATCAGTGGGGACCCAGCCAACCCAGAATCAGGCTTTATATCGCCCTGGAGAAGCCAGGAAGGTACGGGCCTGAATCATGTGACTACTTCACCAATTTCTCAGGAGAAAGAAGAACAATCCCTATTTTTGTTGTTGTTGACTCCGCTGTCTTTTCTTGATCCTCACATGCACTCCTGTGAACATCTCGTGCTAGTGTTGGCAAAGATGCCACTATGGGGAGAATCATTTGTAGCTGCTGCCGGCAGAAGGCCTGCCACGGTCCCGGGCCCCAAAGCCCCAGGCTCTGCCCCACCACCCAAAGCAAGGACCTCCCTCCTGTCTCACTGGACCTCATTTTGACTCAAGAAACACCCACGGAAGAAAAACTTAGAGACCTTTTCTGCTCTGTGCTCCTGTTCGTCAAAGCTTTTCCCTGAAATGGGTTCTCAGTAGGTTCGAGTGGCCTCCCAAGTCAAGTGATGAGCCTGGGACAGCCCGTGAGTGTAAAACGTTGCACAATTGGAAGTGAGGGGGAAATGTGCCTCTAGATGTGGCCCTATCTGGAGGGTGTTCCCCCCCACCCCCCACCCCAGGGCCAGACCGACACCAAGTACGGCCTGCTCTCAGGGAGCCTTCATGGCCCCCTAAGTTCTTACTTACAGTGACATTATTTGAACCTAGAAAACCCGCACTGAGCAACCTCATTAGCCGGAGAGATCCAGATCCCATGTTTGGACTTCTCGTGTCTTTCCAGGCTGGCCCTGGATGGCTCTGTTGCCTACACCCAGCCTTCCTTCAGTTGGGTTGAAAGACTTTGCAGACTATATATGCGAGGGGGTACCCAAAGAAAAACGGATTTTTTTTTCTCCAAAGATATATATATATATATATTATTTATTTATTTTTTTACAAAACAACCTTATCACCTTCAAAGTACTTTCCATTACACTTAATACATTCGTCAAATCTGTGATCCCATTCTTGGAAACATTTTTCAAACTCCTGTTTGGATAGCTGACAGCACCTCCCTCGTTTCTTTCCTCACCTCTTCTATGTCATCAAATCACTGATTTCATGCCCCCTTTTCATTCTCGGGGGAAAAAAATGAAGTCACACAGCGAGGTCAGGCGAGTCAGGTGTGTGGGCTAAGAAAGGCATGCTGGTTTTTGCCCAAAACTAGGACAATGAGATGGCTGTGTGAGCATTGTCGTGGTGGCAAAACCAGCCCCCAGTCTGCCACAAATCAGGCCTTTTTTGTCGCACACTATTACGCAATCTCTTCAGAACCCCTAAATAGAAAGCTTGATTAACAGTCTGACCTGGTGGAACAAACTCCAAATGCACTATCCCCCTCCCATAAAAACAACAACAACAACAAGTGAGCATCCTCTTGATCTTTGATTTCATTTGATGAGCTTTTTTTAGGTGAGGTGACAATGGCATCTTCCACTGACTTGATTGATGTTTGCTTTCAGGATCGTAAGAATAGCACATGTCTTGTCATCAGTAATGACCTTGGAAAAGTCTGGGTCGCTTTGGAGCTGTTCTGTCAAAGCACAGCATGTTTCCACTCGATGCTCTTTTTCCTGGTCAGAATCTGAGAAGGCACACGTTTTGCAGCTACCCTTCTCATTCTCTAATCTTCTGCTAAAATTTGCTGAAGATAATCCAGATAACTTCCCCATTTCTTCCGTGGTCTGTTGTCGGTCTTCAAGCACAAGTACGTGAATTTTGTAGACATTTTCATCCATTTGGCAAGTTGACAACGCCCAGAGTGAAGATTGTCATCAGTCAACATTTCACCTTTTTTAAAATGAGAAAACCACTTGTACACTTGAGTTTTTCTCATAGCGTTGTCCTTGTAAGCTGTGTTCAACATCACATTTTCTGCAGCATTTTACCCTGAACAGGAAACAAAATTTCACAGCCTCATGCTGTTCTCTTGAATTGGCCATCACACACACACACACACACACACAAATGAGGTTCTAACAAAACTGCTTTTGTGAAAAAATTCACTGTGACCAGAGAAGACCTTCCCAGGCAACACCACTGGATGCACTAACTCAGAGCGAGTTGCTTAATGCTTGCCTAGCAGAAAAAATGTGTATGATTATATAATATAGTGTGTGTGTGTGTGTGTGTAAAGTTCACCCTGTGAGTGTAACAATCAGTCTCATCCCACTTCTGGGGTAAGGAGCTTTCATTAGTGCGGTGGAAATGTGTGTGTGGGGAGGGGGGGAGGAGATATGGGAACCCTCAGCCATTTTCTTCATTAAAGTTAGGATCCTAAAACTATCTGTTCCTCATCCTAGGTGTCATGAGACCCTTGGTGGCATAATGGGTACAAGTTGGCCAACCACCAAGCACTTCCTGGGAGAAAGAGCAGACTTCCTACTCCCGTGAAGGAGGACCCCTAACGGTGTAGTGAGTGACAGGTGGGGGCGCTAACCACCAAGGGAGAACGTTTGAAACATCAGGGGAGAGAGAAAAGAAAGATAAGTTACAGCCTCAGAAACCTCTGGGGGCAGGTTTTTCATGTCTTATCAGGACACTGGGAGTCAGAATCAACTCGATCGCAGTGAACTTGGTTGGTTGGTTCTCTAAAGTGTCAGGACCACCTCCGGTGCACCCTACTGATGCTCATGTCCACACCCGTCCATTCTGGACGCCTTTGTCCTTACTGCGCCCCAGTAAGAGGCGCCTGTGGTTTCGTTAAGTTTGTTTTCCTTTAAAGAATCATAAACCGACCGGGTCGCAGCTAAAGGATGTTTTTTGTTTTGGGGGGTGGGTGTCCCTATCACATGTCAGAATAAAATTTAATTGTTTCCTTACCACCCCTGGATGGGCAACAATTGGGAAAAGCAATATTTCCGGCAGAGCGTCAGTCAGCCTATTTTCATGAACCACACTGCTTTCTGTACCACCCACCTCCCCCCCCCCCGTCCCCTCCCCCCTCCCGCTGCTTTGTCTACCCTGGGGACATTCTGCGACTATTGGGGTCATTTAATATGACCTTGTGAATATGACCTTGTGTATCACCTGCCATCTTCATTAGTTGAGCAATGTAAACATTTTAACCATGTTTTCCTGTTTGATCCATAGGCGTTATTTGGTCTTATCCCATGGGGGGGTGGGGGAGGCTGCCTCTCCTCTTTGTGAACTCCTCCCAGCAGGGAGTGTTTGGGATGTGCTGGTCACGCCCGCCTCCAGGTGCATCCCAAAGCAGGGCTGGACGTACCTCTCCTGGGGCGACTGCAAACAGGGCCGCAACACTCTCCACCCTGCTACCGGCCATTCGGTGAGGGAAAGACCCATCGATGCTTACCAAACGGGAAAGGACAAGCCACGCCCCAGCGAAGCTCTCTCAATGCTCTGCTGTCAAGGTAGTTCCACTGATCACAGCCCTCTGTTACGTTTTCAAGGCTGAAAATCTCTACTGGAGCAAATCGCCTCCTCGTCCCCCTGCTGAAGAGCTGGTGGGTTTGAACCACTCACTTTGTGGCTAGCAGTCCAAGTCGGGCCCAAAAGCTTGATTTCAGCAAATCATGTACCAAATCAAGGAGAAGCTGTTACTGACTGTCACCCTTGCAGTGAACACACTTCCAACCTTACAGGTTTGGGTGGGTGACAAATGTCAAGGGAAGGAAGGAGCGTGAGCTGTCCTCAATGGGTCTTGTTCAAGCACTGTTGGTGGGAGAGACTTGGACACGGGAAAGGCCTCCAGGAAGGCAGCTGGCTGAAGTCTGCCATCAGCGAGGTGGAGGTCACAGGAGATCCCGCCCAGCTCACGGTTCCTCCTCCGCTCCACGTGTGTTTCTCATGGGGGAAGATGTGTATATACACGTGACATGTTTAGTTAGTAAATTACCTTCTTGGCTACTTGCCCCATGGGGTTTTCATATCCATCATCCTTTTACATCTCTCATCAGATCAGTGGGGCATAGCTTGAAAACCAGAGGAGAGCCCAGGCTATCAAAATGTTAGTTCCCTCAGCACCTGGTCAAACAATAGGGTTCTGTGAGAGCAGCCAGGAGGAAGGAGAAGGTGGGTCGCATCCCTGGAGGGCTTCCTGGTGCAACTCTGCTTCCCTCCCCTCACGTGGACACCAAGCCTCCATTAGGTTGTGTGGATGCTGGAATGGAAGGTTCCGTCTAGGGGCACTTCTGAGTCCCTGCCCTTGTTGCTGCTCAGCAAGAAGTATCTTCAACCTTTGAGACCGGAAAATGGTACTATCCAGTGGGCTTTATTTCAGTGCTGGGAGAACATACACAACGGTTTGAGTTCCTGAAATGCCCAGCTCAGAGATCAGCCTGTAGATTCAACTGAGTCAGAGACCCTGTGCTTCCCCCTCCCCAACCAAGCCAGCCTGGTATCTGCACATGGACTGTGACGCTGCCCCTCCCAGAGAGGGGTGTCGAGCGTAGAATCATCACTCAACCAGCTCCCACGCGGACAATGAGATGAGTAAAGTTTGCCCTGGTTTTCATGAGGTCACCAGGCCTTTCTCACTAT